CGCCTGCTCGACCAGGGGCGGTGTGTAATCTTCGGTTTTTACTTCGCTCAACGCTTCATACCTCGTGTTTCGACCGATCTTCTTCGAAGCTCGGTCCTCGTCTTCATACGCAGTCTTTGTTATCCGGATTCCCCAGGGGAGGGACGGATAAATCCTTGCGAAATAATCCAGGGAAGCCGGGGTCGAACCCACGACATTTGAGTTAAGAAACCAATGCTCTACCACTGAGCTATTTTCCCTCCCCTCCATCAGATAGTTCGGAGTAGCGCAACTTTTGCGCAATAGATTATCCGGAGGCTGTATATTCTGCTGATTGACATTTCTTCACTATCGTTAGTGTGTTGTCCCGATGCGCCTGTGGTTCACCTTGGTAGAGCATTAAGTTTGGCCACCAACACCGCTATGCTGCACCTGCGCTATCCATTCATTGCTACAATCAATTCATTAGGTAAATGACATTCAAGTTCAATGTGCTCTGTTTCAATCACCGCGAAGGAAGATGTAAGTTCATTCCATAGATTTGCATGTATAAGCCTCGTAATCCACACATTTCAAGGATGCAAGTATGGTTTGCTCTATACCAGTAACACAGACGAGGGCTGGCTGTGCTACAGCGTTGTAACATCAAGCTGTCGATGATTAATTGAGTTTGGATTATCATTTTTAAGACATTCCTCCGCGAGGGCCGACACTAGAACCACATGTTATGGAACTGCTACGCCAATTGTAACGCGCCTGCTCGACCAGGGGCGGTGTGTAATCTTCGGTTTTTACTTCGCTCAACGCTTCATACCTCGTGTTTCGACCGATCTTCTTCGAAGCTCGGTCCTCGTCTTCATACGCAGTCTTTGTTATCCGGATTCCCCAGGGGAGGGACGGATAAATCCTTGCGAAATAATCCAGGGAAGCCGGGGTCGAACCCACGACATTTGAGTTAAGAAACCAATGCTCTACCACTGAGCTATTTTCCCTCCCCTCCATCAGATAGTTCGGAGTAGCGCAACTTTTGCGCAATAGATTATCCGGAGGCTGTATATTCTGCTGATTGACATTTCTTCACTATCGTTAGTGTGTTGTCCCGATGCGCCTGTGGTTCACCTTGGTAGAGCATTAAGTTTGGCCACCAACACCGCTATGCTGCACCTGCGCTATCCATTCATTGCTACAATCAATTCATTAGGTAAATGACATTCAAGTTCAATGTGCTCTGTTTCAATCACCGCGAAGGAAGATGTAAGTTCATTCCATAGATTTGCATGTATAAGCCTCGTAATCCACACATTTCAAGGATGCAAGTATGGTTTGCTCTATACCAGTAACACAGACGAGGGCTGGCTGTGCTACAGCGTTGTAACATCAAGCTGTCGATGATTAATTGAGTTTGGATTATCATTTTTAAGACATTCCTCCGCGAGGGCCGACACTAGAACCACATGTTATGGAACTGCTACGCCAATTGTAACGCGCCTGCTCGACCAGGGGCGGTGTGTAATCTTCGGTTTTTACTTCGCGCAACGCTTCATACCTCGTGTTTCGACCGATCTTCTTCGAAGTTCGTTCCTCGTCTTCGTACGCGGCCCTTGTTATCCGGATTCCCCAGGGGAGGGACGGATAAATCCTTGCGGAAATAATCCGGGGAATCCGGGGATCGAACCCACGACCTTTGAGTTAAGAAACCGATGCTCTACCACCTGAGCTATTCCCCCACCCTTAACCGAAGCTATGTGCGTAATAATGAGTTCACGTTCCGTTAAAATGGGCCATGTCATAACCAAAAGACTTACTCGGAGTGAGTATACTACGCTTACATGTAGTTCGCCCATACACTTCGATAAGGGGCTCTTCCAAGTACAGTACCGTCGTACTTTAAACCCAAAATGCGTTCCCAAGTAAGTTTGTCGTTATTTCATCGCACTTTGGTCGTGCTTTTGTCGAATTTTCTGCTTCCACATGATTGGCTAGTGATTGTTTAGTCGTGTTTGGGTGCATCGTGTTTTAAGGTTTCGCGCACTCGGGTTGGCAAACCTATCCAATCACAGCGGCACATGCTTACATACTAATTTTCATATACTAGTAAACATCAATGCGATTGCTCGCCAGCGAAATTTGGCGGCAGCGGTGGCGACCTGCCCTACGTCCAAGCACAAGGCGCTAGGTCATATGAGTCGTAGGAACATGTTGATTCACCAGAAGCACGATAGCTATCTTAGCTATAGATTTGAAGTCTCCGCCATGATGTTTCGCAACCTCTCGTCGTACATAACAGCAGTCGAGCCGTGCCGTGCCGCGAGCAAGACATGACGCGGCTCAGTGTAGCCATATGTATCGTCATGGCTGCCGATGGCATGACCCCAAAGGTATCCTGCGGAAATGGGATTGATTTCACTGTTCCTGGTGGTGACACGCCCACTGATGGTGGCTCCGACCAACCTCGGCATGGAATTGCAGCACCAGGGTGCGAGTAGAATATCCAACACTTAGATCAAGTAAACGTAATCCAATCATTTTAACCTACGAAGTACTAGGGATGCACAATACGACCAAAACATGCCTCTCCATCGGACTTTGAAAAAGTGACGGAAACGATTCTGATTGGCTCCGTTCGTTTTTGAAAGTACAACACTCATTTCATAGTTTTGCCAAATCAATTAGATTGGTCGAAATGCATCCTTTTCACTGGTCTTTTCAGAATTTCTAAAAGTGCAAATTTGAGGAAATTATACACATTCTTCCCAAATGGCTGGTCTATTTCCGTGTACCAGTAGTAAGCACAAAATAAGGAACGGAAATTAAGTTTACTGTTAAGTACGTAGTGTAATATACAGAGTGAATGTCAATATTGAAAATGTTTGTCTTCATATAGTGAGCAGTGCTATAATAGCGACAGTGATGATGATTACATACATATACCTGGGAACCGACAATTTTCAGAGCATGGGATTGGCAGGCCCGACAATTTGAGTTATGCAATTGGTTGACCGACAACATTCATACATTGATTGGACGACCCACTTGTCGGGTGAAAACATATACTACGTAGTAATTTACATTGAACATGTAACGTTACAGCCTATGATTGGACGGTTATGGAATATCAAACTAATACAGGGCGTCGCTTCATCTTGCACAGAACAAATTAATCATTCGACATCATGAGCACAACCACCGTACCATCCAAAGCGACAATTCAAGGTTCATTTCGCTCAAATTCGACGCTACGAACGTACAAAACGTACCAAAAACAGTTCTTCGCGTTCTGCGAGAACGTGCTTGCAATTGAACCACGCACAGCAGGCCCTGGCTCCTGCACGGATTTTTATCTACATGTAGGCGAAATACAGGGATTGCTGGTTGAAATTATTGGCGGCGAAAACTGTTCTTCCTAGCGCGGTAATCCAAACTAGTCTTCTCATGGATTTCGCACTTGCTAAAAGTCTCTAATATTATTAACTTCAAGAGATGTCGCAACTTCGTCCCAATCCACTGCAAAACATAGTTATTGTGATGTGCATGTATGTAGTATCGGAGTATCAAGCTCCTTCCGAGCTCCGAAAACTGTGTGGGACTTATGCTACTGTTTGGAGGGTGGCGGACGGGGCTTGGATCAAGTGCTTGTTTTTCTTGCGCAAGAGCACCCTTTGCCGTCGCGCGTTCTCCTCTGCGACACTGTCAGGGACGGTGGGGATGAAGCTAAAGATGCTCTGCACGACAAAGAAGGCTACGTGCTCGAGAAAGAACACGAGGCCGAGCACGGCGGTTTCGCGGCCTTTCGCCGCCACGTGGATGTGGTCGACGCCGCCAAAGATCGCGTCGTCCACGTGCTGGACCGCAAAGTAGGACGGGAGCCAGATCATCATTTGCTCCGTGGTAAAGCCAAACAGAAACACGTTCGTGAGCACCGACAGCCACACAAGGCCTGTGACGATCGTCTGCCAAATGCCCACAGAACCCACGCGGTGGACGCGCGGCCGCTGGTGCACAAAGATGAGCTTGAACTGGTCCGCCTTGAGCTCCACCAGGTTGGACGCGACGCTCAGCAGCGCCGCCAGTGGAAAGCACGACGAAAACAGCACAATGTACCCAAACTCAATGACCTTTTCCATGTAGTCGTCGAACGGCTCGTACTCGTCAAAGCCAGTCACTTGCTCCACCAGTTGGAGCGTAGCAGCACTGACATTCTCGTCATCACCGTTGGGCTTGTTCGAGTCTCCTTTTTTCATCGAGCTGTCCACTCGGTCGTTGTACCATCGCAAGACCAAGGGGAGGATCGTCTCAATGCCCACACGGCGAATCGTGTCCAACGTGTACAGCGACACGAGCTCCTTTTGCAGCAGCACCACGTCGAGCTGGCAAAACGCCAAGTAGAACAGTGCAATGTAGCAATCAAACGCTTCAAAGAGGAACCGCTTGAGCACGAGCGCGTCTTCGTACGCGTCGACGGTCTTGTGGTTCTCCCAGTCCGTGAGCATCCCGGCCACGGCGCGGTACTTCAAATTCAGAAACATGATGCACGACGCATGGGTGATCGTGGGGATGTAAGGCAGCAGCCACGGGTACGGCCCGCCGCCTTGCTGGTCAAAGACGGCGCCCGGCAGAGAGAACTGGTGCACCCACGGCAGATGGAGATACGACCCTAACACCGAGTCGTCGTGGATGTACCCTTGAAAGTTGAGCGACACCACCATGAGACAGAACGCCGCCACGAGCATCCCGCCCGTCATGGACGCCGAGACCGCGTACTTGTACAGGCGCCGGTAGTACGGGTACGTGACGCCCCGCTCCCCCGAGAAGACATTGACGTGCACCAGGCCTTGGAATTCCGGACGCCGGGAAAACGAAGTGGACTCGACCACGCCCCACCCGCACACTAGCGTGGCCGACCGCCGGGCCCAGAACTGCACAAAGCATGCACTCCATACCACCATGAGAAGCGTAAAGAAGGGCGCGATCATAGAGTCCCCGGAAGCATCCGCCACAAACACGGACTCGTACAGGGCCAGCGCCCCGCCTACCACGGCCGGACCCGCGAGGAACACGGTGAAGAAGTGCAGCCACGCAAAGTACAACGCCACTTTCGCGCCAAAGTACGCTTCCATGGCGTTCGCGAGGGTCAAGTTGGAGGGGAAGATGGACCACTTGAAGGTGTTCCACAGATGCATCTTGGTCGCGTGGTCGTGCAGAGGAATCAAATGGAACGTGGCGTGGTGTTGTTCGAGGGGCGGCTCTTTCGAGTCCACGGGATCTTCCCGAAGCACTCGCTCGATGTACGTGTGAAGCAAGTGAAGCTCTTCGCTGGACGAGAAGAACGTGTCCGGGCTATCCAGGTCGTGATAATGCAGGAATTTCTCCGCCGCGCCAAGCACCTCAAATGGCTCCTTCCGTCGAAATTGGGTCCCAATGACGTCCAAAGCGCTCGGCGACTTGACTTGTCGATCGGGCTCCACGATTGATTTCAGCAAGCTCTGGGACTCGGCCTCCAGTTCCAGCAAGTCGCGCGACGCGATCACGGTCAACACCCTCCCGTTGTGCTCGTCGAGGAATGCTTTGCCTTTGGAGACTGTTTCGGACACCACCGCCAACTTGGACGACTTTAGCTTTCCCTCAACAAGCTCCATCGTGGAGGCAGGGATGCCTCGTGGAAACACCACGCCATATTGCGCCCGAGGTGCTTTCTTCATGAAAAATGTGACGATCTCTTACAGTTAACAGCGGGTTGCGCAACGACATGTTGGCCGATAGTAATACTATGTTGTAGATAGTAATACTATTAGACACAAATCCAATACTGTAAATAGAAGTCAAAATAAAACGTGCTATTAATAGTACCTACTAAGAGCATCTCCACCGCACCCAGTAAATTGGCCAATCAGTAAATCTGTGTGCTGATTTACCTGTTACTGAAAATTTACTGAAATATTTTTGCACCGCGAGCGGCATCTGGTTCAGTACTTTACTGACCAGCAAATATTCCAGTAAAAGTCTCGCTAATTTACTGGACTTTGGGTGGATTTGCTGGAGTCAGTATCCGCATAATATAGCCGGATACAATCAAATGCCCCAATCACTCGTTTTTATTGTCGAAAGAGGGTCATGTCGAACAAGGATTTACCTTCCAGCTGAGCAAGAAACTTTGTGCCGCGCGTGGTTGCATGTGTCTAGACCCTATCGTTGGGAATGACCAGAAGTCATCCACCTTCTACGAAAAAGTAGCCGCCGTGTACAACGATAAGCTTGAGTATGACATAGTCCATAAGCATTCAAACATCATATATAATGCATCATATATAATGCATCGCGTAGAGCACGCACGCCTGGAAGCTTACAGATACACTGGCGTGACAACATCCAGAAACATGTTTCCCCCTTTTGTGGTGCGTACAAAAAGGCGTTGCACAACCCTCCTTCTGGAACCAACAACAATGATCACTTGAAGGTAGTGACGACCTTTACATCTTCATACGTAATGTCGGCATGCCTTTGAATAGACTGCAATTGAATTGTACAGGGTGCGTTCCAAAAAATCGACGTTCCGTTTGCATCACTGCTGGCTCATATTGAAGGACGCGCCAAAGTGGCAGGAGTCCATGGCATCGTCCGATTCTATGCCTATCAAGCCATACAACGCGTCCCTCAACGAAAACCACGCTGATTATGCCGAGAGAGCAGTCGAGAATACAGTCAAGTCATCCACTCTTGCCTCTATCAGTCCAATGGGAAACAAAAAGGCGAAAGCTAAAAGCCAAGGTATTCGTTTATATTGTTTGTCTTATAATTAATATACATCGAATAATGAGTTATATAATTAAATGTAATAGACGAAGTTGGCATTTTCAAAGTTCAAGCCGATATGGTGAAGGCGATACATGAACGCAACGCAATTGCACGCGAGAATAGGCAACTCAAGATGTTTACGGTGCGCGTTGACCCCGACGACGCTGCTACATCAGCGTTCATAGCCGCGAAACGACGCTCAGCAATGTTGGACATCGAGTTAGAAATTGCAACCAAGCAGCAAAAAGTCATTGCACTTCGTCGGGCTATGTTCCCTAGAATACAGTGAGACATCGCTATAATAGTTATCACATACCTAATGCATCCTTGCGTTGTATGAAGTACGAGTTCCTTGCTGCGACGACGTCCATGACAAGAAGGAACAAGTCACGGGACATACGGAATCGGCGCCGGAACAGGTCGCCTGGATACGTACAGTGGGGTGCGAAGTAGTCTTGTATCAGTAAGTTCGCATAGGCACTGCGTTGACGGTCAATGTTTCGCGACTTGCCTGAGCGTGATCCACCGTGTGTACGGGCAAGGGCGGGGCCGAAAACGACTTGAATGGCAGCATCAATGATGTCGCTGTCGTTGCCGCTATCACTTTCACTGTCGCTGTCCATTTGGATTTACTGGATGGAGTCCAGGTCTCTGCGGTGCGAAATTATGGCGAAACACTGGCCAGTAAAGTACTGGAGTGGTATTATCCGGACATTATGCGGATAATGGTGTGTCGATTTACTGGAATGCGGTGGAGATGCTCTAAAGAGAGTTTCGAACTATATTATTAATAGATGAAATCCAATTTTGGCGAATAAATCCACAAGTACAGACGTTTGAATGACGATATTGAGCCAGCATATTCTTCTCAGCACAGGGTTCAGAGATCCATGTTTCAATTCTCATCGAATGCTGATTTGAACCAATTATAGGGAGTCCAAAACAACGAATTCGTCGTTTTTTGCTCTGAATGCCTGTTTTGGATGGATGTAGGCTGAGTTACTAGCTATTACTATTAATACGTAGTATTATTTATAATAGCTAGTAGCCAGTAGTAGTTACTAGTAGTATACGCACGAAATTATCCGGATGGTAATCCTCGATCTTTGGTTGGCAGTCACCATCATGCACCGCATCAGTCCATCCGAGAAGCTGTTCATCACACATGGAATCGCACAGGACGTTCGCGCGGACGGCCGGAGTCGACTGAGTCGGCGTGTCCTTCGCGTAGAAAGCGGTCTCCTCAGCCAAAGTCACGGGTCCAGTCGAGTATCGCTGAAGGTGGGCAGCACCGACGTTTTGGCCAGCGTCAAGGTGGAAGTTGCGCACGGGAATCACGAGAACGGATGGGTCGAACTGTCTGTGCAGTGCGCTCCGTCTGTGTCTGAGAAGGTGGAAGGCCGAGCTCAAGAAGAGATGAATGTCGAGTTGACCGAGCGCATGAAACGCCTGGTCGTGGTTCCGTTGGCCAAGGACGACCTCGTGATCGTTCCCAACAAGAGCGTGTGGGTGGTCTACGTCGACGTGATGGTATTCGACTCGTCTGGGAACCTTCCCGACGTCATCTCCATGGCCATCTACGCGGCGCTGCGGGATACGTTACTTCCGTCCATTAAACTGAGCGGCGACAAGGACGACGAAGAACATGTGATCCAGGTCGACAGCGACCCTGCGAGCGGCCGGCGCTTGACGCTAGACGACTGGCCTGTGAGCCTCACATTGAGCAAGGTGGACAAGTGGTTCGTCATGGACGCCACCCTCGAAGAAGAGGTATGCATGTCGGCGCAGATCAGCGTGGCCATCGACCGCCACGGCCACGTATGCGGGATGCAGAAGAACGGCGTGGGGGCGCTCGACCTAAAGGAGATGCAAGCCATGGTGGATGTCGCGAGCAAGTCGTCGCCTGACGTGTTCAACGCGATGGCCGGCGTGTTTGCACAGCAAGATGCATTGGACGTGACAAGGGGCCACGTGGCAGAACGCTGTGGCTTCCTCGCTTAACAACTCATCTAACGCTCGTGTTCCTACATCTTTTTCATCTCTTCCTCGGCCAGCTCCTTGACGTCTTTCGCCGCCTTGGACTATAGTTCCATGAGCATTAGCCAAGTAAAGCACACATGCTACGTACCTTGTCTGCAATCGACCCAAGGCGCGCACCCTTTTGCTTGTCGGGGCGACTCAACAAGTTATTGAAAAAGTTAGCCAAGTGTTTCGGGTTCACATCCTACGACCCATCCATTTGTGAGCTCCCACGCAACCCCAGACGAACGAGAGTACAACCAACCTTGGTGTCTTTGGTCTTGACATCCACCTTTTCCTGCTACCGTATCAACACCATGACGTTGTCACATATTTTATGGATATGTTGAGTACCCCCTTTCGAGTGTCGGCGTCGGCGCGGCGGGCCGCCGCCAATTCCTCCGTTCGACGACTGGCTTCCACGCTGCTCCTTTGCAAATCGGCCAGCCCTACGACAACCAGACAGCCAATTGAGATTCGAAACCAAGTCGACTAGGAACGGACCCGCGCCCGCCGCTTTCTCCAACTTGCGCAGCCACACTTGGTTTGGGTCGACGCGAATCTCAGGGTGCAGCAGCGCCTACCAACATACCAGCCATGAACACCTACTGTAGTCCTTGCCCACTTGAAGACGTACGGACTCGTCACTTTTTTCGACGGGCGCTGGAATAAACTTGTCGAACGTGGTGGTCTTCTGCCACCGTGGCTACAGACCAACAAAGCCTTCGTCACCCCCCAAGGTTAGTTTGAGGACCAACCTGGGAGCCCACAAGACTCTGTTCAATCAACGAGGTAGAGTCGTAGCCCGACGGAACGAAAATCGCACTGCGATCGACCAACTGTACACACACACAACACGTTAACGTGGTGTATGCGGTTAGAATTACATGGGAGACTTTAGTACCTTGGGGGGTTGAGCACACTTGAACGCGTTCGGGTGGGAACGATGCATGACGTAATCCTTCAACACGTCCAGATTGGCGCCCGTCTTGCTGGATGTAAAGCACACCGCGGCCCCATCTACACGTGTCTTGTTGCCAGGTTGTCATGCGTCGTGGATGAAAGTACATGCTAGAGCGAGGTGGCGGATGGTGTATTGGATAAAGTCTGCTTTCACAGTGTCCTCTGGCATCGCCTACGTCACCATGAGACTCACCACGTGGCTAGTAACGTACGTCCGATTTGCAAACCACAACGACGACGGGGATGCCTGCGTTGTGCGTCAACACGCCGTCTGGAAGGGATTTCTACACATGCCGTTACGGTAACGACGTGATATATCCCTCGTACCGCTAAGTCGTCGTCCTTGACAAGGCTAGGTGTCGAGGGTTGTCCCTACGTGCATAACATGGTCGTTAAGACGGAGGGACAGGTCGCTTTACCGGCTCGACGTAGCTTTGAAAGTGTTTCACGTTCGCATCGAGCAAGTCCGAGCGCTCGTTTTCGGGAAGTGCCGCTAGCTTGTCTTGAACCACCGTGTGCAACGTGGACAGCCACTACAATGCCACGAATGAGGGGAAACGTCCAACCAGTGATGTACACCTTCTCCAAGGTCGCCTTGACAGTCCACGGTTTACTGCCGTCGATCGCCACCAGCGCCACCGTGTGCCTTAACTTCTGCGCGTCGATGGCGAGCGACAGGAAAGACAGTTCCGATGAGATTCCATCCGTGTTGACCGACCACACGTTGAGTTGACACGCCGGATCTTCTTCGGATGGGACGTGGAAGCTGGTAAAGTCCGACGGTAGCACCGCCAGGGTTTGAACGCGTTCGTTTGGGTTCTTGGCGCCCTGCCACCGTTGAAGCAAAGAGGACTTCCCGACTTCGGTTCCACCCAGCAGGAGCACTTGTGTCGACGGAATTGGCGCACGGACCGAGCTATCACGGAGCAAACTTTGCCACAAGTTGGTGCTCGCCATGATTGACAGATTTGCCTTCGAGGACCCAGCGTGAAGATAGTATCCTGTAGCAATACATATTTTACTAATTTATACAAGTTCAGATATCCCTCCATATTATTAATGCAGTAAGTAATACAGTATTAATACACCATTTTTCAATTGACTTGGATGGATTCGGACAGGTCACTATTGGATTTAGTGACGTGCCCATTCGAATGAATGAGTGCCCAATGGATTTGGTACCCATGTTCGGTGTGCCCATTGGATTTGGCACGGCCCCCTCGTGTGCCCATTCGATATGCCCATGCGCCTTATAGAATTGGTTTGTACCCAACCAAACAACCTTTAGATCATTCGAAAGTGTCGTGCACTCTT